TTTTACGACTTTCTCTTGTGTTATGCTTTTTTTTTATGTATGTGCTGTCAAATAAAGTTGAAGACAAGTTACTCATATTATCCCTTGAAAAAGAAATGGAACGTGGGGGAATACAGAGTACATTTCTTTGAATTTAATGCTATAATAAATCGCACTTAATAAACTCTTAAAGAGATACAAAACAACCTGAATTACTATAAATAAGAAGTAAACACGTGATAGGATTAAAAAGGATTTGCTGAAAAAAATGTAAGAAAAATATGTGCAAGTAATATAAATGAGAATACAAACAGCAGTCCATCTTGTATTTTCACATAAATTCAGCAATACTACTAGAAAGCCGCTCTCAAATGTAAGAAGGACGTTTCTTTAGTCGAAAAGGCATTCACCTCACTTTACCTTGTCCCACCGCATCGTTGTCGCCCTCTCTTATCACTCGCTAAACTCAATTCGTTCTTGAGGTTTGGGATTCATCATTGTCATTATCTGGAAGATCCTCACTTTCGTTTAGCTCAGTCGTATATGCGTCTGGGATATCAACAAGCGAGTGTTCCACATAGAGCTGGTGAAGGAACTCCCTCAGGTGTAACTCCGAGGACCTGGAGATGCTGCGGGATGAGAGCAATAGCTGCCGGGATTTTTCCCCGGCGCTCAGAATGAGGTGGCGGCGGTGGAAGTCCTCGGCACTCCTTAACTTTTTGGAAAAAAGCTCCCTGCTATAGTTCCCACATCCCGTACATCGTGTAACAATTAACCCGACGAAATCAGGCAAGAAAAATTGCGAATGAAAGCTGTCGATGCCGCTGCACGGCTCGGACTCCTCTCCATCCTGCTCCTCTGGCGCCATCATCGGAGAATGCTCCCCTCCTTCCTGCACTGCTGTCATCTTTTCCTTCTCTTCTTCATCTTTTTCAATCCGTTTTCTATAAGCCTCCAACTTATCATGCGAAGCAAAGCCCCAACCAATAAAATTCAAACAGTTCAAGCAATTACAATAGCACCACTCATAGCCTGTGAAAAAAGAGTGTTCGTCGGTATAAGAGCCGTGAAACTCGAACAAAGAAACCTCTTGCGCCCGACTCGGCGTCAAGTTTCCTGATTCAGACTGCGCTTCCTCTTTTCGGCGCCGTTGTGAGGTCTCTTCCCCGGGGGTCACCTTCGGCTTAACGCGAATCACGTCAAATCGATTCAACGAGGGATTCGTCGCTGAGTACATCCAAATCGGAGATCCATTCTCGAAGAGGTCCAGCTCGTAGGCGAAGATGTGCTTCCGCCAGGCCTGCTCATCGTACGTGTGCAGAATCTCCTCGATCGAGGCAAGCGGGAAGTTGCAGACGGCGCAGAGCAGCACCTCCATCCCGCCGGGGTCCTCCTCCTCCGTGCCAGCCTGCGCTCCCTCAGGGAGGAGGGAGTGGGAAGTCTCATCGTCAGGCAAGGCAGGCCGTGTGGGGGTGGCCTCTTCAGGGAGGGGGGAGGGGAGGGGAAGGGCCTGCGGGGAGTTACCGCCTTCTTCAACGAAGGCATCCGGTGGAGGGGCGTGGTGGGGCAAAGTCCCGAGGGGACCCTCGGAGGGGAAATCCACCTCGACCACTCCATTGCCCTCCTCGGAAAGCGAACGCATTTTTACAACAGAAGAAAAGGGGGGGGGGGAGGGGGGAAGAGGGAGAGTTTCGAAAGATGAATAAGGTTTGACGTCAATATCGTTATTGAGAATTAAAAATTAGCCCTCCCCCTTGACTATAGATAGGCAAATGGACCCCGATAGTTATTGTGCAATAAACAAGCCTTGACTTCGTTGAAATGGAAATTTTATTGAATAAAAGGAGGAGAAGCTACTTTGAAGTAAACCCAATTCGCTACAAACAATAAAAACGTGCAAGCAAATACACAAAGTGAGTAAATCAAAAAGTATCGCCGTGTGTTTCTCTGCACATATGCAAATCTATATATATATATCAAGGAGATATAACCCAAGTATGTACAGCTGTCCTCGCTAAAAAGAGCCAAATGATGTAAAATGCCCCCGATATTTAATAATAAATATTAAAATTCTATCTTGGAATATTTCAAGAGAAAGAGTGTGTGTGGGAGGTAGGGGAGCG